TTTGAACTGTTATTTCTGACAGTGGGAGGCTTAAGAAGCTGTCACCAGACTTACCCTGGCTCAGTACGGTGCTTCCAACTGGGATTTGCTTTCCAAGCTATACCCTCATTCCAGTGCTCCATGCCCCTGAGGATGCCCCCAAAGTCCAGGGCTTGGCTGTTGTCCATTTTCACAATGACAGAGGCACCACAGGGACTTCTCTCCAGCTCAGACTTTTTCTAGAAGCCGTGGTAAGTGGCCATAAGTCACCACTGCATCCCTATCCCTGGATTTCCCATCTCACATCCTAGCAGAAGTAACACTGCCATGGAGAATCTGATCTGAGCCACAGCCCAGGAGTTGAAACGGAGTTTGGTTTATTTTTTTTCAGATCTCAAAATCTTCCTGATCTGGGATTCCCAAAAAGAGCCTGATTGTTAATATGGCCCAAATTCATATAGACAACAAGTGGATGGCAGGAAGACCTGCCATGAGGAACAGATGGACAGGAATATCCCTACCTGAGCAAAAATACATTTCAGGAACTCCATCTCCTGCTTTAGGGTTTCCACCTTTGCTTCTAACTCTGCCTTGGTCAGATGGACACAGTCCGTGTCCTAAAAGAATTTCCAGACATTTAGGAGTCAAAATTATGCCCACACAAGGATCTAGGGCAATTCTATTATATTTTTGGAGTAAGAAATTTTGTTTGAGAAACTCAGCTATCTCCTGACCAGCAACAGCTAAGGGGTTTCCAATAATATATCTAGTATTGAAGAGTTCTTGCTGAAAAACCGTGATAATTCAAGCACAAGGAGCAGAAAACCACCAGTTTGGAATGAAGTCTTCTCCTGGTGGCATGTTTTTCCACACCCCACACATGTCCAAGGACTTCTAAGATTCTCTGGACCTGCCCCTTGCCTTGCAAGGAGTAGATCAGAGGAAACCCCTTGGATCTCTGCACCCAAACCTTCCATTCATCCCAATTCCTTACCTTCTTCAGCAACATGAAGCTGCTCTCAGGGGTGGTGCATCTGTTCACTTCCTGCTCATATCTGGTGGGGAAGGGACCAGTGAAGGGGTCATTCCAAGACTGGAGACCTTGTTTGAGCAGGTATTTAGGGGACAGTGTGCTTTGGATCTCACCCTTTTGGATCTCAACCTTTTGGATCTTAGCTTTTGAATCTCAAACTTTTGGATCTCAGACTCTTGAATCTCAATGTTTTGGGTCTCATATTTTTGTATCTCAGCTTTTTGGGTCTCATCTTTTGGATCTCAGCTTTTCAGATCCCAGATACATGCATGTCACTCTTTTGGATCTCAGCTCCTTAAGTCTTAGCCGTTTGAATTGCAGCCTTTGTTAATATCAGTTTTTTGGAATTCTATTGATACAGCCCATGCCAAGAGTCCCATTAGTGCAACTGTTGGAGCTCCTGCCCTGAGGATAGGTTCTCTTCACTCATTGGCACCTGAACTCCTGCACAAACTTCTCTGTGTGGTTCAGCTCTGTCTCCACCTGGTCCTGGTCCCACCAGAGTGAGACCAGCCACTGCCACCAGCCACAGGCAAAGCTTCCCAAGATATTCCTGATGTCCCTCTGGGCTGTCAGCACCTGCTTCCACAGGACACCTCATTAGGTAGCCAACACCTTGTTCTGCTGCTCCAGAAATTGCATCTGCACTCAGAGAGCAAAGCCACCAGTTCAGGTGTGTGTTGGGATGACTCCTACTGGGACCACAGGAGTGTGGGGGACACAAGGAATCTGCTCTTCTGGGTAAGCAGTCCCCAGGCTAGTTGAACCAGATAAGAGAAAAAAAGGGGGTCAATGTGGCCTTCCTAAACCTACAATCAGCAGGGAGGTATCCCTAGCATGGAATGGGGTTGGAACTGGATGGTCCTTGGGGTCTATCTGTCGTGGTTTTAAACCAGTAACTAACAAAAAAATTACTCATTTCTTGCTGTGAGATATGGATTAGAACAAGAGCAAAACAGGCATAAAACTTAAAAGGAATAAAGAAAGTTTATTGACAAACTACAATAATAAGAACACCAGAATAAACTTCCAAAAAACCTTTTCATCCTCTATCTACCCACTATTCCCTTGTTCACATGACAACAGAGACAAAAACTTTGGAACTTTGGTGGTTAAAACAGTCCCAATTCCTGCTACAGTCTTTTCACCAGTCTTTATAGAGAAACAGAAGTTTCTTTCTGTTAATTTATGGAGTTTCTCACAAGAAAACTATTTTTGTTATGGTTTTCCATTGCCCTGATGTTAGCTGCCCAGAGCTGCTGTTATCAGAGCTCACTCCTCCCATTTCACATCACTCTGAGGTGTGTATGGGCCATGAGTCTAGGGATGGCATTTTAAGGATGAGTTATTCAAAACCAAAAGTCTTCATCTGTTTCTGTGAGCTTCACCAGAAAACAGTTTTTCTCATTGCCCCCCAAGGCTTCAAATTTTCGCTTCACTGTTTCCAGCACTTCACTATATCACAATCACTCTACTTCTTACTCAAAATTTTCACTTTGAACACTCTATTCCTCCCTATATACGGTCATGAATTAAAGGAGTTCTTTCAGGACTTTATTGTCCATCTCCATAGCTTTAACAGAAAAATATTTAATCTTAATTAAAGCATCTTAATTCTCTACCTTTCCTGAAGCTTCTTTTCTTTCCTGTCACTGGTAGTTTATAAAGTCTCTTTTCATGTTGATCACTCTCTTTTTCCTTTTCTGGATAAAAAAGATTAATCTGCAAGTCTCATCTGGGAAATGAAAAGTTTAAAATCTTGCCCAGGCTTTGTAGATGGCTCTGTGACCTATGCAGGTGCAGGAGCTGGAGCTGTCTGTGATACAAAATTCCTCATGGCTGCTCTGGAGAGTGTAGTCGCTGCCCCAGCCCGCTGCAGGTCCAGAGCCTCTCTCCTTCTTCACTCGGCAGTCTCTAGTAAATTTATTCACAGCAAAACCTGCAGCCAAGCCAGAGATCGGCCCTGCCCGGCCTGGCCAGAGCCTGGGGAAAACCTTCCGCAGGCCCCCCATCTCCCATCTGGGAGCCGCTGGGCCCAGCCCAGCCCCCACCTGGCCGCATGGCCTGGGCAGGGAACGGGAGGCCTGGAGCTCCGCCACCCTTCACAGCCAGGAAAAAAAGAGAACCCAAGTGCCCTGACTTTATATCTTAAGGTAGGGTTCACAAGTTGATCTCCCTTTTCAATGGTTAAAATTGCTGTCAATTCCCAGTAATGACCAATAATTGGTCAGGAGAAGAGACTCCTTTCAGTCCCCAGCAACTTCAACTTCCTTAGCTCTCACAACCACCTTAAAGGTAAAAGCCATACATGGTGGGCTTTTTGGGGTGTCCTGCATGGGGCTAGGAGTTGAACTTGATGATCCTGATGGGTTCCTTCCAACTTGGCATAATAATTCCATGATCCCATGAATCCATGAATCCTAGAGGAAAGTGAGCTTGCTGCTTATCCCTTCTCCAAGGAAGCCCTGGACAGCACAATCTTTGTAGCAGCTACAGAAACACCAAACATTTAAATAAATCTGCATCAATGGGCTGAAAGTGGAAACCTTCATTCATGGATAGGAGACCATGGAAAAACATCTGGCTGCAGAATAAAGCCAACTGTGCCAAAGCCCCACTGGACACTTTGGAGGAACAGCTCCCTCCCACTATTAATAATGAAACCAGACACAGTTCATCAAAGTATTTAGGAGCATAAATCAGATTTAAAAAACCTAACAGGCTCTACCTGCATTCATGGCACTGGGGTCACACACATCAAAGCAAGCTCAAAGCTCATGAACTGCAGTGGAGAAGAGATACCGAAGTCTGGAATGCCAAAGTCTTTCTCTTTTGACAACTCTTACTTGTCAGCTTAAGAGGCAAATTGGCTGTGGAGGCTCTTCAGCAGCTCCCTCTCCTGCTTTCAGATCTGCTGGATTTCAGGGTTGACCTTCACATCCAGGGGCTGCAGGAGGTCCCTGTTGGCCTGCACCAGGCAAGCACATCCACATTTGCCAACTAAACCACTGGTGCCCCAGCATCCCTGACCTCCCCACAGCCCGGAACAAACCCATTTCCATCCCTTTGTGTTTTGGAGTCTCTGACCATGGCTCCAGGCTCCATAGCCTCTCCCAAACAATGCCAGGAAGGAGAAGCACTGCATCAGCCGAGGGTCAACCCACTAGAAGCAGAGGATGGTGAGAAGAATCTTCTCCCATGGGAAGCTCACCCAGCTGGCTCGTGCTGGAAGACATGATGGAGGAGAGGACATCCCAGAAGGACCCTTCTGCTCCAATACCTGTGCTCCTCCTTTATACACTCAGGAGAAGGGAAGGTGCGGGAAGGTGCGGGAAGGTGCGGGAAGGTGCGCTGCGGGAATGTGAGGTGTGGGAAGGTGCGGGAAGGTGCGGGCAGGGAAGGTGCGGGGAGGTGCGGGGAGGTGCGGGGAGGT